GGGCGCTGCCAAACCGCCTGGGACAGATGGCAGCAGTGCCAAGAGGCTGAGCTGCAGACACGAAGGAGGAGGTGGTCAAGGGTGATGCTGCAAAGGGACAAGTGTGTTCTGGCCCCAAAAAAAAAGTGTCCCCTCACAGCCTTCCTGTCTCTGACACCCCCATCTTCTGCTTGCCTCAGCCCTGCCTCCCCCCCGGTGCCTGGGGGGAGCAGCCTGGCCCACAGCCCCTTCTGCGCTGCCCCGTGGGCCAGCAGCTGCCTGGGATTGTGCGCGTGGCTGCTGCTGTGGGTGGGGGGAAGAGGCAGCCCTTGTGGGGCGGCTTTGCTCTGCAAGAGCTGGTGCGTTGGCACTGTGGGGGCACGTGGAATCAGGCTGGTGAGAGACTCGCGGCTGTACGGGAGCAGTGGTAGCACATCCCCTGCCCGTGCCAGCCAGAGGCTCACCTCTGTCGGGGAGAGGGACAGCAGAACCTGAAGCACTTGGACAAGTTCCTCTGACCTGGAGCCAGGGCTGAGAAGGGGGAGCTGGCGTCAGCCTCACCCCACCTCCCTGGCGCTGGCGTGTGGGGTGTTGACAATAGGTGCCCGACTGCACCAGCCTGTTACTGCTGTAACAGCCTTGGGGGATGGGCCTTGTCTCCTCTGGGAGCAGACAAAAACCGCCTCTCCCCTAAGCAAGAGTGTTTCATGCTGTCATTTTAGTCTCTAGATTATTTTTACTGTTAACCAAAAAGCTGTAAATTAACTCCAGGAATATGTATATTTTGGCACTGTTGTAGCTCAGGATGGGGTTCAGGTTGGAGCTGGCTCAGGGAGACTAACTTGTCCTCCTGGCCCTGTGAGGGCAGCAGGGCTGCAGGTCAGGAGTGGAGAATTGCTGCTTTGTGGTGGTGGCTCTGGATATGGAGTCTGTGACTTTCTACTGAAAGCGCTTGTCTGTGAGCACAAACTACTCATGAGATGACACTAGATTCTTACTTTCCTTTATTTGTTGGGTTTGTAAATAAACTGCATCTTGGGAGAGTTCTGGGCTTTGGCTTTTCCCCCTCCCCCCCCCCCC